GTGACGCCAAGCACGTTGTTGTCGCCGACGTAGGGTAATGGGTAGTAGACACGTATGAGGTATCGTCGCGTTTGTGACACACGAGCTGGCGTTGTGGACACACGTCTGGTTGTTGCCGTCTGGAGGCAAAGGCTCCGGGGAATGGTGGTGGTGGAACCCAGTCAGCGTGGGCTCGCCCGGAGTATTGGACGAGACACCTGTGCCCGTGTAATGACCTCCGGTAGTCCGCGCACGAGGGTTGGCGTGCAGGTCTGCATAATTGATGGCTGCCTCTAGCCAACACCCCCTAGATTGCTCCACCGCAGGCGTGGTATGCCTGGTGAGCCCTGTCTGTAACGGACCGGGCACGTCGTCCTCAAGCACATCAGTCATAGTCGCAGCGTCTTGGAAGCTTGGCCGTGGTGATGGCTGGTGGCTTTAACTTCAGCTGCGGGAAACTGCGAGGACGATGGTGGTCGTTGCTGGCAGGAGGTGCAGAGCATTGAGGCTGGTCGACAGTCGCCTTTGAACATCGAGGAGGGTGAAGGTTCCGCAACCAAGAGGTGAATAGCCGGGCGTGACAATGCCCATAGTCGTGGTAGCCACCAGGGCGTTCGGTGATGTTGCCGTCGTAGAACCTGACGTGTCAGCCGTGTTGTGAGCCATGGAGGTCAGCCGAGACGAGCCGGTGGTAAGCATGCCTGCAGCATCGTCGGCCGAGGACGATGAAAACACAAACCTCTTGGCTGACTGGTTGCATTCAGCCCAAATGTCGAGAACCTTGGCGGATGGGCAGTCGGGCGCAGGACACGCGTCGCTAGTGGCCAGACGAGAGATTAAGTCTCGTTTATCGGACGTTGTTGAAGGCGAAAGCTTCGAGGTCGGGAAGTCAATAACGGGCGAAAGGTCACCTGTGCCAGGCTCCGAGGCGGGTGGCAAGGTGGTCGTCATGGAGTACATACTGAGTCATGGCACTACATACTAATTACTACTGACTGGTCATGTTTAGTGAGATGGCTTGCTTAATTTTAGTATGTAAGTAGAAGTCTTTCATTTTTATTTTTTCTCCGTGTGGAAAGTTTTCTTTTCTTGCTCTTTGTGTGATTATCTCGCGCACTGTACTGTTTCTTTCTCAATTATTTATTAGGTATCATATACCTTCTTTGGTTATGCTTTTCTAAAGTGCAATTATAACATGTCTCCTTTTTCTACCCAAACTAGCCTTTGGCCCCACAAAGTGTATGCAAACTTTCTGTAACAATTGTGAGCAGTAAAATTCAATTCAATACTTAACACTTAAATGAAAGTGACAATTGAATTTTCTAAATTAAACACCAGTACCCCAGCTCATCAGTCACCCTGCAATGGCACAGGTTTCAGTACATTTTTAGTAGTTTGCCAATGTAAGTTCAATTAATGCTAAAGGCTTCTTAACTCTTTTGTTACCATGCCTATTAAATCAGTCACTGGTGATCGACGACTTGGATCAACGATTTTGGCACGCTGAATTTGTTTTTCATGCACCCAAGCACTGTCTAATAGTTAGTCCAGCCACTCAACTTTCATAATCAATTTGAGTTTGCCCATTCTGGCAACATCATGATTTTCGACAGACCTTTGCACGAACCAATGTGCGTGTGTTTTAAAAACGCATTTGGCTGGCGAACTTGACAGAAGTGCATGCTTCTCATGGTTACGCTACAGTAACATAGAAGTTCTGTAATCAAAAGACCTTTGCAAAGACAAATATCAAATTGAAGGACCCCTGACATCAGAAATCAGAAATCAGAAATCAGAAAATTTTTTTATTAATAAAATTCGGTACAAGTGACAGGAATTTAGTATACAGAAGGAGGTCCCATAGTCAAGTGACTGTATCGGGACCTCCTGTACAAATGCAATGAGTTATTAAACACATTTAAGCAACAGAAGCGTAAGTATAAATCAAAGCGTACAACTGAACGCATAAAAAATAGAGAAAAAAAAAAGAAAATAAAGGTGTGAAGTACAAAAAAAAAAAAAAGCGATAGAACAGTTTAACAATCAATATACAAAACTAAATAATAAAGGAAATAAAAAAAACAAATAAAAAGAAATACAAAAAACAGACCAGACAAAAGCATACGTCAAATAAAACAAGCAGTAAGTCTTATGGTTAGTCCGCATGAAGCAAATACAATTTATACTGTTTCTTAAATTGATGAAATGAACTGATAGATTTTATGTTAAGTGGAAGAGTATACCACAATGAGATAGAAGTGAATTTAACAGTTTGTTTGCCATAATTAGTACGTATACTGGGTAGAAGGAAGTTGTTGTTTAGTGCAAATCGGGTATTACTATAAATAACAAGATCAGAAGACGGGAAAATGGTAGGGGGAAGTTGATTATTAAGAAGTCTGTAGAAAAAAATGCCAAGGTTGAATTTAGTAAGTTCAGTGAGAGTAAGGAAACTCAAACTTGGAAACTCAAGATGCTTGTATTGTTTGATAGCCCTGCATGCAGGAACACGTTTTGACGGATTATTAGTGACAAGCGTTGCTTATAAGATACAGTAGACGCTCAGCAAATGGAACCTGAAGGGGCTGGGAAAATATGTTCCATTTACCAGGAGTACCGTTAAGTGAGAGGTAAACATGGGTGCAGAGTACAAGTCCAAAAACCAAATATTGCAGAGCGAATAGTTCCATTTAAGCAGTAGTTCCATGTAACAGATTTCCGTTTACTGAATGTTTACTACTATATCTTAATTTGGTTTTAAAATAACGATGCGTACTCGTCCAAGAATTCAGGTGCAATTGATATTTTATGTGGTTTGACGTAGATAGGGTATTCCCTCGGGACGTTGCAAAGGTCAAGCGAGTATTGTTGGCGTCAAAGCGTGCGCACAATGCCCCGATTGGCGGCCAGCGAGGACTATTGTTTGTCAACCTTCATGATAGGTCGTCGGGCTGTCTCAAGACGGTTCAAAGCAATTACATCGTTTCATTCTTCACTACCTGCGGGTTCCCCTATTTGAAAACAGCGTATTCAACGTCACTGAAGCTTGAGCGAACATAGTCTCAGGCAGTGCTGCGCTGTGTGGCGCTAGTTTCTTATGATATTTAGGCAGGTGCTTCAAACTGATGCAAAATTGTTTGGTATTAATGATGGTAGCATAAATTAATACGATATGTTAGATCATTTACGATTCAATTTCGGCATTACCACATACAGAACTACAAATCACAGTAAAAACCCGCAAACAAATCTTTTGCTGTCAAAGGTCCTTTAAGATGTCAACTTCGCAATCTGACAGTGTTAAGCAGTAATAATTGCCAGAAATTTACGCCAGCTATTCAGTAGAGAGCTGTTGATAGGAGTTGGAGAACGTTTATTCTACAAAAAATGCAAGGGAGTTTAATAGCGACGCCAGGTAGTAGGCAGGCAGCCGGTACGGACAGAAATGCACGAGCAGTCCAGTGTCTACAGCTCGTGCATACACTCGCGAAAAGTGAACGAGTTCTCTTGTGTGTCAGGAAAAACCAAGCATGCTTCACCGCATGCCATGAGCAATGAAGCAGCACCTCAGTTCTGATTTTTGTTGTCTATGTAAATAGAAACATCTTGCAGAACATTTATTATTTCTATTTTCTTCCTTGGTCATTTATCTTCAAAATATATCACCTAAATTGTCTTTGTTTTGAGCATTTTTACACATTAAGTTCTTTATTGCACTACTTACCAGCTGGCAACAAAGAATAACAGACTTTTGACATTTCTTTCATTACTAAATATTTTTGTTGCTCTACAACATAACTTTTTAGAAAGAGCATTTTATTGTGCAAGATTTGGCAGGCTATAATACGTGGTGGAGTACACTTTTCAAACTGGCAAAACCTATCTTCCAGAGACATATGAAAAATAACCATTTTCGCACAATAAGGAAAGGACTGAGCTTGCCCTGTTTTATCCATAGACCACTTAGAGCATGATACAGTCTATTGGTACCAAAAATGAATAGTAACTGACCAGGCCCAAGCAGATGCCATTAGAGGGGCCCTGCAACAATTTTTGAGCATGGTCAGAAAACGCTGCCAATTGGTAGTAGAGGCTCCCGACGACACGCGAGCCCAGTTTTATAGTGCAGCGTGCGGCCTGGAATTCACAATAAATATCAAAGTCAGCTAAAAATAGCTTTCTCTTCTCCCGACAAATCACGGAATAAGCCCAAAGATCCCTCGTCATAAGCCCATCTAGCAGACATTGGCTGATTTGAACGTGGCGCGCTCAGTTGTTACAGAGGTCCCCATGAGAGGCCGTCAGTTGTCCACGCGTGCATGCGCGATCGCACTGAAAAAGCCATGTATTCGAACAAAAAAATAAAGGAAAAAAGTGCTCAAGGTCACGAGGCACGAGTGACACTTTTTGTTTGACCCTCCCATCTCTCCCTGCTTCCTATCTCTTCAAGCGCTTTCGTCGGGACGAGAGAAGAGAGAATGCGATTGCACCGTGTGACAAATCTTTGTAACTCTGCTCGTACTGGATGGACTCTTAAAATTTTGACAGCGTTGAATTTTTGAGGCAATACACTTTTCCAGTGAATTAATTTCACGATTACTCAAAAAAGTGTTTCAAGGACCCTTTAAAACACATGATTTCAAAAAGAATATCTTCAAGGTGGTACCACCATACATATTCCTTTCTTGGGGATTTCCTGGCATACACAGCCTTTTCTCACAACAGCAGCGACTTCTTCTGGCTCTGTAGGTGAAACTGTTTAACAAAACTTTAAACAGGGTTTTTTTTTTCATGCTCCTAAAAACTTTCTAGGTATGGTGCTACCGAATGTAGGCGTCTAGGTGCATGAGGACATCAATTGATGAAATCTGAGAGCCTGAAGGCAAGACTCTACTCCTACAAGATTAGAGTCAACTTCAGATATATGCTGCGATATGTGCACTGTATCCACACAGGCAATAATAGCCAATCTTTAAAAAAAAAAAAAACAGAGATACAGTAAAGATCGAAAGCAAGCTCACCATATCATCTTCAGCTGAGCTGAAGTGCTCCTCACTGCCACTGCTATTGCCGGACTTGCCCTGTAGAGGAAGAGAATCTGAGCATCAATTACAAAAGCAGTAACACCGATACTATTATCTGAGATTTTACGTCCCAAAATTACAATATCATTATGAGGCATGTCGTAGGAGAGCTCCAGAAATTTTGACCACCTAGTAGTCTTCAAAGGGACAGCCACCAAGTTTTTATAGTATCTGTTTTCTACACCAGAACAGAGCAAATTCAGTGCGTGCTGCCATACTTAGAATTGTCAATACGCCATCTGTTGCAAGCGCTGTAAAGCAACACCTTGAACTGCCAATTGAGCAGATGCTCCATAAATCAAACAAGAAACTTCCCACTCGAGTATGGCTCAGGGCATGTTTCGCGATCCTTTCCTCCTGGGAACTTGTGCTCTTCTCTCGTGAAACCTCGAGAAGACTTTCCTCCACGGTCCGGAATGTCTACAGCACGTTGCACTGCTGAGTACGGAAACAACTTCATCAGGTATGTCCTATCGCAATAGAGATGCAAGTGGATTTTGACTCAGTCGACATACCTTGACTGTCGCTAGTTAAAACTTATGCTGTCGGTGTCACGGTAGTGCCAGAATCCTCCTCCGTCTTGCACTGCATGTGCTCCTCTTTTGCCAGTCATGCCTGGCACTCAGAACACACAGGCGGTGCGAAAGTGCCAGCCAGAGCAAGATTTTGATGGTGATTGGTGGAGTTCCGTGACGCAAGGACCATGGGTGGCCAAAGAACAAAATGTCTTTTATGCACGTTGACCAACAATTGTGATGACAGGGTGTATTGTGGCTGTACAGAGGCCTAAAATCATGCGCTGCATACAAGCCTAAAAGGTGTACATAGACTATAAAATTATGGCATTGATATAGAATGTGACCAATGGGTGTAGAATGAATTACAAATGAACATGGCATCCACAAGTGTGAACGAAAAATAGCCCGAATGCCTCCTTCAAGGCCTTTGAAAACCAAAGGCTGGTGGGAACTAGGTGCTTACGTGAGCAGCTACCGCAGCAACCACCTCTGTTGGGAGGTTGTCCTACGAATTTTTTGTATATCACGTGAAAGCTATGAATGTCCTTTAAAAATGCAAACAATAGCTCAAATTTGAAAATCAAATTTTGCCTATAAACATCCAAAGATGCAGTAGAATTTCTTCTCAGTAAGCTAATGAAAAGCATTTTTTTTCTAATCAGTCTAATTCACTGCTCTCAATGAGAATGTGAACGATGGTGAGTGGTTCACCACACTGATCACACAAAGCTGAATCACCACCGGAAATGAGTGTGTACTATGTTGTTGTCCTGTCCTTAACCGGACGAGTTACTTCTGTGTGGAGTGACTTCTATACCGACGGCCAATTTATGAGAAGTGGCTTCATAAGATGAAGTTTGTTCTGTGTTACCCGTCCCACAGCCCCTGCAAATGATCTCTCATCTTTCACTTCAGAAGAGGTTTCAGGTCAAGTGCAGGGACAGCTACGCCTGTATAGGCAGCACTTTCAAGGGCGGATGCAACTGACTGGTCCAGCAACACGTTTCCATAAATCTCACACTGCCCTGGCACCTAGCACACTACAAAATGCTTTCTGAGCATGTAATTTGTGAATAAGATTGTGTATAGTGAGACAAGGACAATATTTGTATTTTTTCATCATTGTTAAAGCTTTTACCAGACTCAGGAAATGAGTGTATATTGATGCATTCTATATTTTAGCTGTTTAATTTGTTTTGGGGTTCCAAGTATAGCATAAGCTTCTGCTGTGAAAATGCTTGTATTAGAGTGCAGAACGCCGACATCTGAAAAGAATGAACTCACGACTGCGTATGAGACAGAAATGTAAAATGTGTGCTGCAGTTCAAGGAAGCATGTGCAGATATGTGTTTCATAACTTCCACAAATGACACATCACAATCTATTAACTGTCACTGCCATGGCGGAATACTTGCTGCGGGGGAAGCCAGATAATGCTGCTCGAGAAGTGGCACACCCATTTCTTCAGCTAGGCTCTTCACACGTGCGTACGGCTGCCACACCGAAGGGCAGTTGTGGAAAAGAGCTGAGGAGGACAGGTCGTTAACTCAGGGTCTCTACCAGTTTGCTTTTTCGAAATTCCCCGACTTTTTCACAATGATTTAAAGGAAATTCCATGACCGTTAGGTCAGCTTCGCAAACTCTGTGCACTGGAAACAACCCAACGAGTGGTAAAAAAAATCAAGCAAAATAAGTAAATAAATGTACCGCACATGTTCAGAATGTTCCGAGTTCCTGTGGTAAATATGAAAAAATTATATATATCTGGCCAAATTGATACCTCCGAGCCAAAGAGTCAGCAAGTTAGCCTTTTGGCAGAATGCAAACACACGAGTTGAAATTAACCCCAGATGAAAGCTGGAAGAAGCCCACGATAGTCCTACAACGCAGCCACAACTGGTAGGAAATGTAGAAGTGGCACCATCTCATGGCATCTGTGTAAAAGTAGGATGCATGAACCCGGCGGGTTTTACCACTGGGATATATTCCAGTTCATTATAACGGTTGCAGCCTAGGCTACTTAGGATGTGAATTGGATGGGATTAGATCGACCTGTATTTACTCACTTTACAAAGGATGTGCATTTGATGTGACCTAGATTGCTGTATTTACTATTCATTTACACCTCCATCTAAAAATCGTACACCTCTAATATATAATTTTCAGCAGAAAAAAAATAACTATATAGTACTCGTGCATTCTACCTTGCATTGACAATGACTAACAACGTCGCAAAAACGGAGTCGCACTGCATTATTTTCATTTTTCCGTTATTTTTTTGTTTCTCTTTCTTTCTTTTTCCATAACGAGCACATGCATGTTGATGTTTTATTTCTCTGGGCTCTGGCACTTAAACTTCGATGAAGTCCTCAGATACCTGCAATGAAAGCTAGGGGTAGCATTTAAAGCGATGACATTCGAATATGTGCTGGCAAAAAGGAACCAGCCTGGTCATATTAGCTCCCTCGATTCCACAGATTTATCGCAAATGCGGGTGGGTTACCTTCGTTCTTGTACTCTTCCATGAACATAATGCTAATAATTATTCACAAATTTAATAATATCATCTCCACAAACTGAAACGAGAAATGTCGATGAAGTTACCCAACTCTAACCTTGAAACACAAGCTACCAGCAATAAGTGCGTAGCTGAGGACGTTCGCTGTTGCATTCAACAGCAAACAGCATAATAATAAAAATTGACAAATCGCACACACACTGGGAATCGATGATATGCGAAGCACGAATGAGGAAGGTTGATGTGTCATATTAAAATCAGTAAAACATTACGTGGACATAAATTGTGCCAAACATGACACGCATGTCATGATTATCATGTTTGGACGTGTCATTTACCTTCCTTGTTTGTTCACGTCACATAATACCAAATTTGGTATATGTGAAGCTGGCGAAACGGCCCAGAGCACGGAATGAGCATAGCATGTAGTCATGTTTTACATGACACACATGTCATGATTATCATATTTGGACGTGTTATTTAACGCTGTCCTCCGTTCGCGTCCCGCAATACCAAATTTGGTATAAGTGAAGCTAGCGAACGGCCGCAAGCGCATCGTGAGCATGGCATGTAGTCATGTTCTTACATGACACACATGTCATAACTATCGTGTTTGCACCAGTCATATACCTTTGTCATCCATTCACGACACGCAATACCAAATTTAATACATGTGAAGCTAGCAAAATGAACCCGAGCACACCATGAGCGTGGCGTGTAGTCATGACTGGCATGACATGCACGTCATGATTTCCATGTTATTGCCTGTCACTTATGTTCATGATCCAGTCTTTTGCAATATGTCATGTGAACAAAACCACCACAAGAGCAGCAAGACCATGACGTGTAAAATATGACATTCATGACATGCATGTCGTGATTTTCATGTTACAACTAGTCACTTATGCTCATCATAGTTATATGCCGCACCAACTTTGGTATAGATCCTGTTATCAAAACGGCCAGAAGAGCTAAAAGTCATAAGTGGCTAGATAATAGATACATAAGGTCAAAGTCACCAAAGCGCATTTATTGATCATTATAAAAGGCATTACATAGCCTGGCAAGCCTTTGCTAATGGCAGTTCTATCCAAACCACAAGGCCTTTAAGCATAGCCGAAATCATGGTCAAGACAAACATGCACAAATTTACCGACGTGTGTATTGTTGTTGTTAGAAAATCAGATATGCTGTGCAATATGTACAAGCAACATCAAAACAGTGAATGTATTAACATGGAAGCTAAGGAACGCTCTGGACAACATAAAGGACAAGTTGCCAAACAAAAATTTCCACGGTCTTATTTACGCTTTGGGCTGCCACAATTGTGACAACCAATGCATCGGTGAGACCACTGATTTCAGGAAAAGAGTTAAACAACACGAATATGGCGACAGGAAACAAGGTGCGACCTCACACGCCTTCGCTAAACACGTGGAATCTACAGGCCACCAAACTTACTGGTGAAGCGCGCGTATTCTGGCCAAAGAAAAGCTTGCACCTGCCTGCACTAGGAATAAGAGCACATGCAGACAACTGCACTTACGCTGAACAGGAGTGATGGGACCCTTCAAACAATGCAGTTCTGATGCTTGCGTCACATACTTAGGCATACTTAAATACCCTGCGCCTTTTTCATGACTATTATTGAAAATAAAGCTCCCGTAGTCGGTGCCATAATGTCATTGAACTTTGTATTCTTTTGGTAGGTGTATCCTTTCACGTCTTAACTAAGAAGCAACCGTTCCGCACTGCTTTTTTTCACACATCATTAAGCTGTTCGCTGTCGTTGCAGCTGAAGGAGTGGCATTTAAAGCTTTGATTAATGGTAATGCTTATTTTTGTGTTGGTCACACAGACTGCCGTCAGTTTCCATGACCAGGCCCGATTTTTCAGAAATACCCAGACTTTTCCAGGTTTTTCAGGTTGTTAGACACCCTATTCACTGTAAGATGTGAGGG